AGAACGTTTTTCAGGATAAGGCTAGGTGTGATATGTATATCACCAATCCCTGCAACGGTAGCTAAAGAGCCATTGACCATGATAATTTTTCTATTATTTGGACAGGGGGTATAGGAATGGAAGCGTTGAGTGGGGGTCATATGTTCAGTAGCACCGGAGTCAATGATCCAAGAGTTGGTATATAATTTGTCTTAGACATTCATGCAAACAATTTTACCTGAAAGAGCTATCGAACATGCTCCAGAAGGCTTTTCAAGAGATCCCAATAAGTTTCTCAATTTCTCAATTTCTTCACTGCTGAATCCCCCTATTGTTGATTTTTTCTCCATATTGGGTTGCTCGAGGCCTTTGTTTCTCCCCACAGTTGCCCCATTCTCGGCTTGGAGGTTTACCATTTAACTTCCAACACTTCTCCCTTGTATGTCTCGGTTTCTTGCAATAAGTACACCAAAAATTTTCTTTGTTCTCCTTCCCTTGGTTATCGTTCTTTGACTTCTCCTGATTTGTGTTTGCTGCTAAGGCTGACCCATCCATAGTATGTGGTTCTAGCATGACACTCCTCCGACTTTCTTCTGCTCGGATTAAAGAGATTGTCTCTTCTAGAGACAGTGTATCCTCCTTGCCGAGGATTTGGATTCTAACATGATCAAATTCAGGATTCAATCCTGCCAAAAAATCATATATTCGATCATTCTCAATGAACTTCTTCAAGGTGGCAACATCATCAGGGCATTTCATCTCAATTACACGATAATAATTCAGTTCCTGCCACAGATTCTACAATAAAGTTGCATACTCTGTGACAAATTTGTCTCCTTGTTTGGTTGCTCCAGTTTTTTTCTTGATTTCATACACAAGGGCAACATTGCGGGCTTTCGAGTATGTGCGGTTGATATAGTCCCAGATTTCCTTTGCGGTGTTCAAGAACATGCAAGTGTCACTGATCGTTGGGTCCATAGAATCCCATAGCCAGGACATAATCATGGAATCCTCCTCTTCCCATGCTGTAGAGGCTGGATCCCTTTTTTCTGATCCGGTTCCAAGTAGGTGATTAATCCTCCCTTTGCCTTTTAGGTATGTGCGGACAATTTGGGACCAATTGAGATAGTTCTTCTCATTGAACCTGTTGGATGCCCGAATATTCTGCAACTCTCCAATTTTCTGAACAGCATTGTATTCTTCAGAATAGTTAGAGTAGTTGGAGATACTGGTTTTAGACATTGACATGGTGGAGAAGAAAAATTTACAGCAATTAAGGCTAGAATCAACCTGCAGTGGTAAAAAAATCGCAGCAATTAAGACAACGAATAAAAAGAATCCAAACAGCGGCAAAGATCGCGAGATCTCCGGCATAGGATTGCAGCGACAAACAGCAGAAAGTACTTCAGCGGCAAAGGACGATCTTCCTCGTGACAACGTGCTGCTCCTCTTGGGCAAAGCAGAGAGGATGGAGCGCAGATCGCAGAGAATCGAGATGCCGAAGAAGATGGGAACGAACACTAAGGCGGAAGCAGCCCGTGCTCGGAAGGAAGAGTCGCTACTGGAATCCCGTGCTCGGGAGGAAGAGTCGCTCGTGCTCGGAAGGAAATACACTACAACGGCAAAGAACGATTTTTTGAACCGCTACTGGATCGAGGCAGAAGGACTGAAATCCCGTGCTGCCAAGAAATGCGAGGAGTCAGAGAAGCGCGCGGAAGCGGCCGCTCGACGCGCCGAGATCGCAAGATTGCAGAACAGGAGCTCCTCGATCTAGAGAAAGCTAGTCACAGAGAACCGACCCTAACTGGAGAATGACGACAACAGACGGTGTTCTCTAGGGTTTCAGCCTGGGCTCTGATACCATGTGGAAAATCAAAAAAATAATTTGTAATTCACTTGCTTTTTTTCGATTTTAATCTCTGTTCTATACTTTTCTCTAATGCGAACAAAACTTTTTTTTAAAGGAGGAAAACTAGGAAACTATTTAACTATTTCTCTTAATTTAAGGGATTACAAATTTATTCTAATTTCCTTAATTTAAGGGATTTGAGAATTAATTCTAATTTCCTTAATTAAGGAAATTAGAATTAATTCTCACAACTTTCTTTCCATCTTAGTCATATCTCGACAGTTATCATATTAGAAAAGTGAACAGGGACTTGGGGTGTCTGTCATGGTTGAAGCACTAGTCTCTGGTGAGAATTGGTTGTTACTTATAGCTGTGTTCAATTACGATTACTAAATATTTTAGGGTACCGGTGTTGATTCAAACAAGATATGAGAGAATGGTGAATAACTAATGCTAAATTAAAATCAATTATTCGCCCGCCCATACTTTAATTAGTGATATTATCTCTATGTTCTTTGCATGGTTGGGGTGTGTGATATTGTTTATATGAGATAGTGTGATTTGGCCAAAATTCTCATGAAAGGAGAGTTCATCAGCCGGCTCATGAAAATGCATAGCTGTCCAAACTTCAACCAGCCAAACGTTGGGAGAGTTCACCTGACCCATGCTTGCTTCCTAATGGCTGTCAGTATAACAGATTTTTGTTGCTCTCTTTGAAGATAAAATCATCTTTGGTCAGTGCTTCAAGTTTCCTTCCAAATTTAAATCTTTCAAATGCAATAACTAGGTTGTGTCCTCATGATTTTATAATTTTCCTTTAGTGCGACAACTCTAAATTTACTTTTGCACTGCTATGACTTCCTCTACCGTCAAATGAATTAAGAATGGTTATACTTTTTGAACACTGACATAATAGATTAAAGTTATCATTCTTGAAAGGCATTGCTTGTGCATAAAGGTAGCATCCAGCTAGTGACACCCTTATTGGAATTATCCGTGTTCTCTCTCTCTCTCTCTCTTCACTAGACACCTGAAAATGTTCTTTCCTGGAGTATCTGTGAGTTCGATATCTTATTCATTCTTCACTCGTCGCTCGTCTCCTTCACATGAAAATGTCCCATCTTCTATTTTGTTCTAGTTGATATCTGAACCATTGGCATTTTGCCCATTATGCTCAGGATTTGTATTAGACCTTAGTTTTTCTGTCAGTGCAGTTATGCTCAGAAGCAGTGTGTTGTTCATTATTTTCTCGTAATTCTAGATTTTCAAATTTCCATTCTGAACAGACATTGTTTAATGCCAGTCTTCTGATCCCCTTGCTTTATGTAGTTGCTTCATATACAGGAAGTAATGATGGTGATGGTAGAATGATTATTTTTTAAAAAGAAATAAATATATTTAAAAATATTTTTTGCATCTATTTCTATTTTGTTTCAGTAAGTTTTACGCTGTTTCATACCATGCATAATTTATGCACATAACTCTGTAAGTTACATTGTTTGATGGGTACATGTATCATTGAAAGAAGATATAATAGTGTACATAGTGACGGAAATATGTAGCTTCATATATTTTCCTGCAATATTTTTCTAGTGTTATTTCTTATCGTACCATTGCATTTTCATTTGTTTTATTAACTCTGTATTGTGTAATCAGACTAACTTTTATGACTAATTTTAGCGGCTAACAAAATTTTTGCTTTCCGGTGCATTTCATAGTTGCCTTAAATAATTGTTTGATTTGGTATTAAAAGATGCAGTTTGCCCTAGTTCTTTTTTTATATTATTGCTTTTCAGCTCTTCTTTAGTTTTAACATCTATGTTACTTTTTCAGGCTTCAAGTCCTTTGCAAGTAAAGTATGCAGATGGCGAGTTGGAAAGGCTAGGTGTGCCATATTTTACTCCAGCGCTAGTTAGAAAATTATGAACTGAAATGCTTTAATTTTGATTTTTTTTTATTTCAGCTAATCTTGTTGCTTTGCATCATTACTGATTTTGAACTTTTTTAATAAATAGTTTTCTTGTCATGGATTCACTAATAAGAATGTGACGGATAATTTTTTGATGTTTAGACATGATAATATTTTTGTGTTTTTTTCCTTTCCAGAGCATAAGCTTTTCGTTGGTATGTTGCCGAAGAACGTAACAGATGAAGAAGTTACTGCTTTGTTTTCTAAGTATGGTAATGTAAAAGATTTGCAGATCCTTCGGGGTTCTCAGAAAACAAGTAAAGGTACTGTTTTCTTTCTTATTTATCTTCTAGTTAGCCATTTACTTTGTTTTTTGACCTGAATGTATACTTTTAAGTTACATATCCACAGTAGGTACACTAATTCCATTTTTTTTTTATAATAAAACAGGTTGTGCCTTTCTTAAATATGAAACCAAAGAGGAAGCCTTAGCTGCTCTCGAGGATTTAAATGGGAAGCATATGATGGAGGTTTGTTGTTGTGAACAATTAAACTTAGCTTTTCTCATCCCGAACTCTTTTGTAGGAAACATTAGGACTCGCTTCATCTTGTCAGAGACATTCACCGTAGTCTAAAACGTGAAGTTAAAGATTTTAGTTGCAACAATCACTGGATAAGTATAGGATGTAGGCACCATTTAAACTTTTCTTGCTGCTACAAAACAAGCTTCCTCGGTTTTTTTTCCATTAAGGTGTGTAACCATGTTGTTAGAGTGCTTTAACTGTCATGAGAGTTTTTCACCTCAATGCAGAATTTGCTAGTTGGTGTATATTGGTGCAAACTATGTTAAGTTCTTTATATTTAGTGAACAGGCGACTGAAGAAAGTATTCAGATTTGGTCAACTAAACCTGGTTTCCATTAATAATTTATCTACACACTATTTTTATATCTCTATCCTTTGTTTAGTGCTCTTGTTAAAAATTGTTTTCCATAAACTTTTCTGCATTGCAAATGTTTGAGCTGGAGAGCGAAGAGATGGTTTTCTGTCTCCCCCAACTGCTTTTAACTTAACGACTTGTGGACTAAAGTTTTTTCTAATCAAATGCTCATATTGATAAATTGTGAAGAAGAATATGCCTTTTATTTCATTTTTTCTATTAGAGAATGGAGGTTTATGGATTTGCAACTGTTTTTCTCTAAGGTTTTGTTATATGAAAAAAAATTCATATGATAAAGTATAGTATTGTCATATGTAAAATTTTCTATACAAAGCCTTTTCCAACTATACAAAGCCTTCTTTACATTTTTTTTTTACAACTGAGCCTTTTCCAGCCACATTGGAAGCTTCGGATCAACAAAATTTTCAGTCGTGGAAACATTACAAAATTTAATTCACTGCAATATGAATTCATCAAAAAATGTTTCAGGATTTGCATATAGTTGCCAATGAAATTTATGAAGTTTGTACTTTATTGTTTTTCCTCTTTTGACGTTAGAATGTGGTTTTCCATTAATGCATTACATCACTCTCCCAACATCTCGAGCTGATAGAATGAGCACAACCATCGTCTTTATAGTTCACAACATGATTTTCAAATGTGACTCAACTTGCATCCATGTTTGTTCTTCGCCCAGGTTACGGTGAGATGATGGGATGGCAAATTCCCAAGAAGTTTATAACTTCTTTCATACTCTTGTTTATTGTGTAATGCTTAGCACAGTAATAATGTCTAATGACCTGATTACTTTGTATAGTAAAATATGGATAAGTTTCCATGATGACTAAAGTCCAGTGGAATCAGTTATTGTTGAGTAGACAAGTTTAAAGGAAAAGTAAGAAATCTGGCTAAAAGGGTGATCACAGATTCATAGCCTAGGGGCCCGTTTGGGGGCAGCTTAATAGTGCGGGGGCGTTTTTGAAAACACCGCGGTACTGTTTAGATCGTGTGTTTTACCGGTTTATCCAAAAACGAGGTTCCATTTTTACACTAAACGTAGACCACGAGTCGAACCCCGCGGTAGACCTGCGGGCCGCGTTTCAGGATAAGCAGTATCCTGAAACGCACAAGCTGCCCCAAACGCACCCTAGGTTTGCCGGGGAAGTGCCGCAATTATCTGTAGAAGACTTCTGCAAGTGTCAAAATTATGTCTCTAAAATCACTTATGATGGAGATAAATCCAAAAATGTTGGAATTTCTGGTGAGAAAATAAGAGAAACTCCGTAGTAGTCAGTTAAAAGTACTACAGCTGCTGATGGGGAAACTAATAGATGTGTATTTAATGATGACAGTTTCACCGCAACTGAACATGCAAAAGTATACTAGCGAGTGCTGTAGAGCTAGCCACCTTTTTCTTATGTCTAGCAATCATCACGGGCAATTTTTCATACTATTATTATAATTATAATGTCATGAACTATACATTTCCATCGTATTATGCCTTGTTTAAAAAAGCACTCTAGGCACTCAAAACAACCTCAAGGATTACGTTTCGAGGCTTAAGCCTCACTATCACCAATAAGGCTTTTTTGCAAGGGCAGTACTTCTTGAAAATTTTTATTATATTATATTTTATTAGAGGGATATGCATACACATCACACAGTTCTTATGTATTTACATATGTAATACCTAAATTTTAACATTCAAATTTTTAGCATCACATGAACAATTCCACTGATATTAATTTTTGAATAATAAAATGCACCATCTCATGCCTATGTTTTGATATGACTGACATTAAGTCTTATATTAGTAAACATCAAAATTTAGGTGTTATATATGTAAGTACGTATGAATTGTGTGGTATGTATGTAATACATATGAACTGTGTGGTATGTATGTAAGTCTCTCATTATATTATTAATATATATTATTTGTTATTATCTTATATTATTTTTCTATTTAATATATTTAAAAAAATACCTTGAAAAAGTCAAAAGATAATTTGAGTATGATAATTGATTGTGTAATTAGTTAATGATCTTATTTAAATTTTTATATCTAATATTAATTAATATAAAGAGTAAGAAAAAAAATATAGTTATTGAAGATGACTTTGAAAGTTGCCAATAAGACTTAATCATATGACGATAAAAGTATTACATATGATTATTTTTTTTGAAGAGGATGACAATGATGATTAGACTGTCAATCTTACTCCTCTTGGTGTATTTAAAGTTTAAATAAATGCTTATTAAATCTCATTAAAAAAAAATCATTTTATATCAATATTTTAGAATGAGATTTGCGGTTTATATTTTCATGAAAATAAACTAAATAAAAATGTTAATAGTTTATGTCATAATCATGAGTTATTATTAGTTTTAGAAGTGTTTTTTTCTATTTTTAGGCTTATGCCTCGATCTATCTTGAGGCTTATGTCTTTCTTCACCAAGGCAAAACTTTTTAGTTCCCGAATTTATTCTTTCTAGATCTCAGTATTATGTATAGAAAATTTAAGTTGGAAATATTCTTTTGGAGTGTTACTGATTTTTGTTTTCTGTCTATTTATTTTGCAATTCATCTGCCAAATAGTAATGTTAAAAAGTTACAGCACTAATGCTGTTGGCACTGAGGCCAAACTTTTTATATACATTGATGCTTTAGTCATGAATCTTGGTAGGGTTTCTTTATAATGTGCTTGATAGTATATTAATTTGTAATTCTATATTATCTTGTTATTAGGTCTATTGCAATATAATAAAATTTATGCCCTATATTATTTATTTTTATTCTGCCTGTTATTGTTTTACTTGGGATGCTTTTTCTGAGATCTATAATTTTAATATTACGTTTATAAGCTGAAGTTCAAAAAATTAATTGGAAAAAAAAAGGTAATTCAAATGTTACTATAGAATGCATTACAGTTTCTTCTCATATTTAGATTCGATATAAATTTTAGTTTTTGAAGAGTTATACTACATTTAGCATTTTCTATGTTGTAACTAATATTATTAAGACTTTATTTTTTTTAATTTTATTGCATCAGAGCTGCAACATCTAGCTATGTTTCATAATGTTGCATGTTATACTAAAAAGGTGCATATCTGATCTGTCAATCACCAACTCCGTCACGCTTGCACACAAAACAGTTTCACATCCACAAATACATAGACAACCATATTATGGTTTTGTTTTGGAATTTAGGAGCTTAAATGATCCTGTTCATTTCATATGCCGTTTATTTCATTTGATTCAAACCCAAATATTGTTTTGCTGTTTTTAGGGTTCAAATGTACCTTTAGTTGTCAAGTGGGCTGACACTGAAAAAGAGAGGAAGGCTCGTAAAGTTCAAAAAGCTCAATCTCAAGCTTCCTGTGTTCCTCATATGAATTCATTACAACAACCTTCATTGTTTGGAGCACTACCAATGGGGTATATTTCTCCATACAACGGATTCAGCTATCAGGTTAGATGTTATGTTACTACTATGTAGTACTTTTTAGTCATAGAAAGTGTTGTATCCACGTACATGTTATTTTTTTACATATGGTTTTAATAGTTAATGCCTAGTAAAGCCCGAGCAAAAATGCCTTCATTACATAAACTGTGGCCTACATATATGTATATACTAACATGCTTCATGCTTTTCTGGTACTAGTGAGGACCAAACATAGCAACGACATTGCGCTTTTGTAGCACTATTCACCCAAAATGTGAAATGACGAATAATATTAATATATATATATATATATATCTGTGTAAGTGTGCGTCGTCCGCGCAACTGGTAGCCTGTTGGTTGACAGTTTCGGCGTAAGTCCCCACGGTCTCGGGTTCGATTCCATCTACTTCTTTTAGAATATGCACATGGGGGGGGGACACACACATGTAGATGTCTCTATATATATATATATATATATATATATATATATATATATTAAATTGGTCGGAAGCTATTATATGAGCCCCAACCACTCTCATGTGTCTAACTATTCGAGGACCGTCCTCATTACCAGTAAACTGGCCAGAGGGGGATTCGAACCTGTGACCTGAGGGGACTAACGACCTTAAAAGAGGCTGCTTTACCAATAGGCCACGGCGACACACACACACACACACACACACACACACACAAAGAAAAAATATATATGTATTTATGTATGTATTTGAAATGATGAATAATACCTAAATGCTGCTAACTCTAGTACTTGAGCCATTAGGTTTTGATAGCATGGTTGACTTGGTTGCTCCGTGTATTGCATCAACTTGTTGCTCCAAAATACCTTTACACTGTAATATCAAGCTTCATGCTTCATTTTACACGGATCACCAGTTTCTGGAACCACAAACATGGTATCCTCATGGTGCCAAGTCATTGATGGATTTGGGGTCAACTTTTTTGGGGAAAACCTCAAGCCTCCTATACGGAAAACTTCAAGCCTTCTATACCTTGATAGCTTTATGTCATGGGAACATTTGATTATTTGCTTATTCTCTCATAAGTTCCTAGGAGCATTCTTTTGTTATATTTGTTTTAATCTTCATTTTTTGTGTCAAAATGTTTAAAAACAACCAAATGCTTACTGGAAATTTCTGAAAATTATCATGCAATATTTTACTATTTGATCTTTTAGTCTTCTATTTCATCTATGATATTTCAGCACATATGCTTGTGTTTAATTGCTTTGTGATGTAAAATTCTGTGAACATTACAATTATCATCATTCAAGTTTATAATTTAAGGATGCCTGGAAAATTATGCCGATATGGTTTTAGAATTCTGTATTCCACCATCTCTTTGAATGGCAAGCCGTTCGTGCTTGTATTGTTGGGAGAGATGCGAAAACCGAATCGAGAGATCCGAAGCAAAACTCAGAACAAAAGAACACAGAACAAAAATCATAAAAAATATAAAGAACACCAAGATTTAATGTGGGAAAACTCAAGGGAAGAAACCACCAAGCCACATCATGCCATTCCAAGTAATTTAATATGAAGAAAATGAGGAGAATAGTACAAAGTACATTTCATTCAAGTCAATCCATACTTTGGAATGCAAGAATGCTCATTCTCTCACCCTTACTTTAGAGAAATCAAAATCCTATTCTCAACACGCACATCTCCGATCGGCAAAATGGAAACTTAAATCAGAGAGCTACACAAATACGATTACTTGCGTTGGAGTGACGCGATAAAACCTAGCGGCGATCCAAACAATGTTGGGGTGCTGACCTATGTGCCCTACAATGTTGTTCTCTCGGGTTTTTGAACCTAGACTGGGCATTGGAGTGTTGAGCGTTCATGTTACTGGACCTGGAGTGAGGGTTGCAATGCTCCTTTCGGAGTGCTAGGGCATTCTTATTCCAAGCGCTAGGACGTTGCATCTTGACACTGCGACGCCTGTACAGGAAATAAAATTGTTTAGGGGCAGCACTTCCAAACCCAAAACAGGGGGCACCCTCCGTACCCCTTGACAAACTCACCGTCAACCATGAACATCGAAATTGAGGGTCTGAGAGAGGAAATGATCAACACAATCAGGTTCCACGTAATAACAATCTCTCACTTGGGAGAATGATTGAAATCAATTCCGCTCCAAATTCTATAACATTTTCATGGTAATGAACTGTAGTGTGGTTCATCCTTATCTCAACTTCTGAACTCCAACTGATGCTGAACAAAACTTCAATTTCTCATCTATCACAACCTTAATCAACATATCTTTATAAATTGATCAGTTGTATCTTTTACAAAGATAATTGACCATCTTCTTCATACCATTTTAGAAGTACAACTACAACAACAAAGCCTTAATCCCACTACTTGGGGTCGGCTACATGAATCCTTTTTCTCCATTGCGTCCTATTTAGTGTCATATTTTCATTTAGTTCTAATAAATTAAGATCATTTTTAATACAATAAGCCCAAGTCTTCCTAAGTCTGTCTTTGCATTTTTAAACATAAGTCGAATTTAAAATATCTACTCTCCTAATCAGATCATCAGATGATCGACGTTTAATGTGACCAAGCCATCTAAGAGGACTCTCTTTAATTTTGTTTGTAACTAGAGCTACACCAACCCTATCACAAGTGTATTCATTTCACATTTTGTCTCTAAGTGTAATGCCATTCATCCACCTAATCATTCTCATCTCGGCGACACTTAACTTAGTATTATGCTTCTCTTTTAAAGGCCAACATTTAGCTCCATAGAGCATTGCAGGTCTCCCCCCTCTTATAAAATTTTCCTTTCATTCTAAGCGGTACTTTTCTATCACACAAAAGTCATGACATGAATCCTTTTGATCATTATACCATTTTACGAGTGAAAGAATAAAATGTTTTAGCTGAATGCGCTTCGTCTTGACATAAATTTTGACATTCTTTGCTAGAAGAATGACACTCATACTGTCACTATGAAATTTTTCATTCTCTTGCTCATTGTCCATTTCTCTTATAAAGCTCTAAAGCTAAATTATTTCCTTGCTAGCCTCTGTGATAGCAATAGACTTAGTTTTTGTAGTCGATAATGTAACAATCTTCCGCAATCTTGAAACTCAACTCATTGTTGTGTTCCCCAAAGTGAAAATAAATTTATTATACTTTATCTATCATCAATATCTTCTACCAGATCTGACTCAGCATATCCTTGTAGATTGATTCTTGCACTTCTAAAGCAAAGTGATTCTTTGACAGTTCCTCTCAAGTATCTGAGAATGCATTTCATCGCCTCCCAATGATGTTTTCCTGAATTACTCATTTATCTACCGACTACTTCCGCTTTATATGCAATATGTGATCTTGTACATATCATCACATACATTAGACTTCCAATTTCTGAAGCACATGGAGTTTTTCTCATATGTGTTTGCTTAGCTTCAAACTTATGCGATTGTTCCTTGGATAGTTTATAGTGACTACCTAAGAGGTTGCTAACAGATTTTGTCTCATGTTGAATCTATTTAGGACCTTCTCAATATATTCTTCCTGAGACAACCTTAATTTACCCGCACTTTTGTCCCTGCTAATTTTTATACAGAGGATTTTCTTGATTAGATCTAAATCTTTCATTTCAAACTTCCTTGATAATTACTCCTTTAAAACCCTAATCTACTCTATATCTACTCCTACAATTAGTAAGTCATCAACATACAAAAAAGCACAATGTAAAAATTATCAAATGTTTAATGAAACAACAATGATCTACATGACACTTCTTGTACCCACTATCTTACATAAACCTGTCAAATATTTTGTACCACTATCTTGATGCTTGCTTCAAATCATAAATGCTCTTTTCACTCTACAAATCATGACTTCTTTTCTTAAAACTTCATATGTCTGTGGTTGCACCATATACAGTTCTTCAAAGCCACAATGTGAGAAGACTATCTTTACATTCATCCACTCTAGATTTTTATCTTCCTCTGCTACTAAAGCTCAATACAATTTTGATAATTGTCATTTTCACTACAGGAACAATATTTCAGTGTAGTCAATTCCTTTCTTTTGTTGAAATCTCTTAACTACAAATCTTTCCTTGTAGTGCTTGCTACTATATGACTTTTTTTTAGTTTATAAGCTCACTTGTTGTGCAGTTCTCTTTTGCCATATGACATTTCTGTCAATTCTCTTATTTGAGATGATATTAGTGAGTATATCTCGTCATCCATGATAAACTCCCACTTCTTTGAGTTTTTTACTTTAGTGGCGTCATTGTAATACTCTGGTTCATCATTTTTAGTCGGTAATATATGATACAAAGAAGAAAAGTACCTCTGTATCAGTTGTATGATTTTGCTGGACCTTTCAGTAGCAAGTTTCTGAGGAACTTCTTGTGCTTCATCCGATTGAGCATTCTTTTCTTCATTTTTCTGATCTCTTCTATCTCAACATATTTGGAAGGGTCTTCAAAATTAATTGATGGATAATCCTGAGTTCTATTTCTGTCATTGTACATCTCCATTTCATTGAAATTAATATCTCAGCTCCTAATGAATTTTTTATTCTGATAGTTCCAAAATTTATAACCAAATTTTTTTGAGGCATACCCAATGAAATTGCATTTGACAGATTTTGACACAAGCTTATTCTTGGATTCCAACATGTGACGAAAAATCAAATACTTTTAGATAAGATAGATTTACCTATTTGCCACTCCAAGCTTCTTCAGGTAAGCTTTCATTCATATGTACTGGACCACAATTTATCAAATAAACTCCAGTGTTTCTTCTCGAAACTGCTTTGGCAAGCCTGAATGCAACCTCATATTCCTGACATGCATGTGCTCAATAGCATCATTTCTCTGTGGTGTCTTTGGAACGGTGAACTCATGCCTGTTCTTTTGAAGTATAATCTCTCCCGATCCTTTGATTATGATACTTGCCACTATTATTTGATTTGAGATAGTTGAATTTCAAACCTGTCTCATTCTCAACAATAACTTTCCACTTCTTAAATACATCAAAC